TCCTTTCTGCCTTTCTTGTAGATGGGCGTCACATTTGCCAACCTCCAGCCCATTGGGACCTCCCCAGTCACCCAGGACTTCAGATAAATAATGGAAAGCGTCTTGGCAAGCACATCTGCCAGCTCCTTTAGCACCCCAGGGTGTAACCCATCCGGTCCCACAGATTTGTGTGCATCCAAGTGACGTAAAATGTCACTGACCTCCTCTTTAATCACGATCACCTCATCCTGTTCTCCCTCCCTGTCTCCCAGCTCATGGGGCTGGATGTCCAGGGCACAGCTTGTTCCACTGCTGAAGACTGAAGCAAAGTAGGTGTTAAGCACCTCTGCCTTTCCTCATCCTTTGTTACCAAGTTTCCCTCTCCATCCAATAAAGGATGGAGATTTTCCCTAATTCTCCTTTTGTTGTTTGTGTATTTATAATATCCTTAACACGCCTAGCAAGGTTGAGCTCTAGCTGCGCTTTGGCCCTCCGGATCTTCTCCCTGCATTGCTTCACTACATCTTTAGAGTCTACAGGAGAGACCTGTCCTCTCTTCCAACAGTCATAGACTCTCCTTTTCTTCTTGAGGTCCAGCCAAAGGTCCCTGTTTAGCCAGGCCGGTCTCTTTCCCCGCCTGCTCGGTTTTCGACAGGTAGGGACAGCCTGCTCCTGCGCCTTAAAAACTTCTCTCTGGAGGTATGTCCAACCTTGCTGGACTCCTGTATCCTTCAGCACATCCTCCCAAGGGACTTTGTCAATCAGTCTCCTGAACAACTCAAAGTTTGCCCTCCGGAAGTCTAAGGTGGCAGTTTTACCAGCCCCTCTCCTGGTTTCCCTAAGGATTGAGAACTCAATCGTCTCGTGATCGCTCTGCCCTAGACGGCCTCCAACCCTTATTTCCCCGACAAGTTCTTCCCTGCTCACAAGGAGCAGATCCAGGAAGGCACCTTTCCTGGTTGGCTCATTTATCAGCTGCATGACAAAGTTGTCCTGCACACAGTCCAGAAACCCCTTGGCTTGTTCCCTCTCTGCTGTGTTGGATTCCCAGCAGAGATGTAGGAAGTTAAAGTTCCCCCCAAGCACAACGGCAAGTGACTGCGACATTTCTCTCAACTGCTTCTAGAAAGCTCCATCCCTCTCCCTGCTTTGATGGGGGGTCTATAGCAGACTCCCACGACTGTATCAGCTTTATGAGCCCTTAACCTAATCCAGACAGACTCCACCTCCTCGTCACTACACTTGATTTCTGAGGTCTCGTAACGTTCTCTCACATATAGGGCTGCTCCACCCCCCCTCCTTCCCTGGCTGTCTCTCCTGCAGAGATTGCAGCCTGCGATGGGGGCACTCCAGTTACGTGGGGCATCCTACCACGGTTCTGTCACAGCAACTCCACCAGTTTTCCACCTGCAGAAAGGCCTTCGATTCCTCCTGTTTGTTACCCGGGCCGCGTGCACCTCAGCCGGGTCACCCTCTGTGAGGGAGGAGCCCTGACACCTTCCTGGTGATTCTCAGACGTTCCCACAGTAACTGACCCCTCGACAGCCCTTGTTCTCTGTCTGCAACAATGTGACATTTTGATCATTGGAAAATTCACAAGATTGATTGATCTCACTGCTTTCCTCCCCACAAACACCGGCATCTCGCACACTGGTTCCTTCCCGGTGATTCCCGTTTTACCCCCACCCCCTGTCACACCCAGTTTCAGGCTCTGCCTATTTCCATTAGATCTGGCTACCACGCCCTCCCCCTCCACATCTAGTTCAAAGAACGCTCGGTGAGTGCCCCCAGCTCCTGACCAAGGATCCTTTTTCCCTTGTGTCACTTGAACCCCATCTGGTTTCAGCAGACCAGGTGACCTGGAGATCTCCCCACGGTTAAAAACCCCAAAGTCAGCCCGCTGGCACCCCCCCTTTAGCCCAGTATTAATCTGCTGCACGTTGTCCAACCGATCACTATTTTAACTCGTCATTACGGGACCAGAGGCAAACACGACCTGTGTGCCTGATCCTTCCTTCCTCAAGTCCCTTTTGACTTCCTCTGGCCGTCTCCCCACAGAGATTCCCGAGTTAGCTCGGAATCATCGCCATTAATACTTGTTTATCACCTAATTAATGTTTTCCACGAACCGGAAAAGCCGGTTCTTGGTTTTCTCCACCCCCGTAGATCCAATTTTTCAATTCTCTGAGGTCAGAAATAAAACCTCCCTCTTTTTTTTTGTTTGGTTTTCACACTTTTAATGAACACGACGGCGGCTTTCAAGTCGTTTTCTGTTTCGTTTTCGGGATCTCCAGGCCGAACCTGGATCTTTGTTTCCAAGGAAACGTCCTTTTTAAAAATAATTTTATTTCTGAAAGGCATTTTCGGGGCGAGGCGCCACGCGGGTCTCTGCAGGCGGGGCGGGGGATCGTCGGTATTCGGGTCCTCGTCTCCACTCTGCGATTTAACGCTCTTTTTCTGGGGAATATCACACCCAAAAAACACTTTTCTTTTTCTTCTTTACATCAGAAACGAAGCAGTTGCTGCACACGAGGATGTGGGTTGAAATCGCGATTCCGCGCTGAGGTCGTTGAGGGGTTCGCTTGGTAAAATTGGGGTGAATAAAAGGAAAATCCTGAGTTTTCACGAATCTCTTCAGCCTGTGACGAGGGTTGAGCTGAATTTCACAGCGGGTTTTCTGCTGCCGGTTGGAAAACTCTTCATGATGTCGCTCGAAGAGGCCGCGACGTTCTTCATTAAACAGAGGATGAATATTATCTTCTCCAGGCGCCTACTTATCAAAAAATCCATAAAACCGCACCGAAAAACTGCTGAATTTCATTAAATTCTGGCTAAAATCAAGCCAGGACACACATTTAGCTCATCTCACACCAAAGCAGCCCGAACGCCGAGCTGCGTTTTTATAAAAACGTGAAAAAAACCACGTGAGGAAACAAAAAAAGAGTTTCAAGAAGCCAAGTGGGCCGAGCCAGCGCGCTCCCCCACTCCCAAAATGCCATTTCTCGAGCCATTATCCGCCCCGTCGGTGGGTTTTTGGTGTTTTTTTCAAGCCCGAGACGCCGGGAAGCGAAGCGGCGTCGGGCCGGCGCGTCCTTACCTGCAGCTTGCGCGCCATGGCCACCACCTCGTGGTCGGCGGGGTTGTACTTGTAGCAGTTGGAGAACATCAACCGGACGTCGGCCGCGAATTCCTGAGCATCCCGGTACTCCCGGTTCTCCAGTTTCGACTAGAAAGGAGAGGGGGAGGAAAAAAAACAACAGCCCAACAAAACCACTGGAAACGCAACAAATGGGTCAATCGGAGAAACCCGGCCCAGTGGCGCCCACGGATTTGGGGCACCCGGTTTGTCCCTATGTTGGAAGGACCAGTTTTGGTCAAAAGATGACCAGTTCTGGTAAAAAAATGACTGGTTTTGGTCAAGAAATGACCAGTTCTGGTCAAAAGATGACCAGCTTTAGTCAAAAAATGACCAGTTTTGGTCAAAAATGACCAGTTCTGGTCAAAAGATGACCAGTTTTGGTCAAGAAACGACCAGTTTTGGTCAAGAAACGACCAGTTTTTGTCAAAAGATGACCAGCTTTAGTAAAAAAATGACCAGTTTTGGTCAAAAGATGACCAGCTTTGGTCAAAAGATGACCAGTTTTGGTCAAGAAACGACCAGTTTTGGTCAAGAAACGACCAGTTTTGGTCAAAAGAAGGACCAATTTTGGTCACAAGAACACCCAATTTTGGTCTAAAGAATGACTAATTCTGGTTGAAAAGAATGACCAATTTCGGTCTAAAGAATGATCAGTTTTGTTCAAAAAGAATGACGCATGTTGGTCAAAATAAAGACCAATTTTGGTCAAAAGAATTACTAATTTTGGTCGAAACAATTACTAATTTTGGTCCAAAAAATGACCAGTTTTGGTCTAAAGAAAGACCAATTTTGGTCAGGAAGAACGACTAATTTCGGTCAAGAGAACAACCACTTTTGGTCAGAAGAACGTCCAATCTTGGTCAGAAGAACGCCCGGTTTGGGTGGCAGGAACGCCCGGTTTGGGTGACAAGAACGCCCAGTTTGGGTCAAAGGACTGTGGATGGTTTCTAAACCAACGGAGCCGAGCACGAGCACCCTGGGTGCTGCTCACAGACGACTTCGTGCTCTCCAAGCCACCCGCTCGTGGTCTCCGTGGCTGCCGGCCCCTCGGCCTGTCCCACGAAGACCCGGCGGCGGCGAAGGCCACGAGCACGAGGCCCTGCCCGACCTCAAGCAAGAAGGGCTGAAGG